AAGATGCTCTTGATTTGATACCCCGTCTCGAATAGCCGGATATCAAGCAGCATTGGCATCGGTTTTTTCTTGAAAATATAGATAGCAAAGTGTTTAGTAAAAACAGCCTCTACCCGGCTTTGCACCATCCAATAAAAAGTAATCTGTATTGGGGTTATTCTATGATAATAAATTCATCAAAAAGAGATTAGCTATTAGTCATCAACCACTCTTGCCTTCATTCCTTGAACTATAATGATAAAGTATATTTTTTCATGACAGTCTCAGAGCCCAGAAGCATCCGAGACGGAATCTGAAAATACTGAAATAAAGAACGAAGAAACTGATGTGATCACCGAAGATGTAAACGTGGACGCATCTACACCATTGCCATTATTAAGAGCAAAACGTCACCATTGCAAGAAGTGCGGAGGTGGTTACAGTGGTTACGGTGGCGGAGTACCATACGGCGGTGGCGGCTATAGCAACTACGGTAGCGGTTATGGCGGCGGATACAGTGTTCCGGGTAAGTTATCAATAAAATCAAATACATTTTTTATCAAGTTATAGCTAACTTAATTTTCAAAACAGTCGGTGTACGTGCACCTGCTTCTTTCAAATCTTTACAAGCTATATTTAGAAGTAATTAATAAATATAAACTTATAAAGCCATTCAAGTTATTCGGTCGAATACATTTTATTAATACGGTGGTACAACCTCACTAGTGACTCGTGATACGAGTTTTTCGAAATACGACCGGCCAAAGGAGCGGTTCGTCATATGAACAGAACTCGAGATAAGTGCGATTGAGAGCCATAACGTAAGCTTATGGGGGTGCGAATGAATAAGATTCATCTAATATAAATTGTAACAAACATTTTTGTATGTGAAGAGGTATTTAACTATTATACAAATATTTAAACTAAATAATTTTAGAGTTAGAAATTTTAATTCAATATTATTAATGTTGTGTATTTGTTCGTGCAATGTGGGACAAAATTGAAAAGTTTGTGAATAAAAATCACCCCGAAAGAGATGTAACAGGTCGACTCATTTTTGCAATACCATAATAAGTTGAAAAAAAATAATGCTCATTAGATAGTTTTATAAACGCAGAAACTTGTATAATGATAATGTAGTCATTTTAAATTTAGTAATTCGCTATATTTTTGAAAACTATGTATTTGATCTATAAATAAATAACATTTCACGGAAAAAATTGCTTCGAGATACGAGCAATTCGACATGTGAGCGTGGTTACAAAACGATTTGAGCTCCTAAGGCGGGGTTGTACCAATATATATATATATATATATATATATATATATATATATATATATATATTTGTTAAACTTATATTAATATGATTGTAAATCGTTTTTTAAGCATATAAGTCCGGCCATGTTTATACATATCCATATGAAAACTAAACAAAATACAATTAAATATACAAATTATAATAATAAATAATTTACAGCTAAGATTGAGGTCTACAAAGTGGTTCCTGTGAGCACGGGCTATGTTGGGTACGGCGGTGGTGGCGGACAAGGATATGGTGGACATGGATATGGACACGGTGGCGGCGGCGGTGGATACCCAAGTATAAATACTCATCTTATTAATTTAATTCTATTATTTTACTTATACTTAGAAAGATTTTATTGATTTTTTATGTTAATAAATAACATTGCCCAGTTAATTTAATAATCTGCCAACTTAAAGTTAAATCTTCATTAAATTTATTAAAAATAACAAAAATATCATTGCCAAGAAGTAATAATAATTCAAATATAATACTGTTGAAAATGACCTATTTTCTTATACAACATGATGTATATTGCAGGTTATCCAAGTTATCCCTCTTATGGAGGTGGCGGTGGCGGTTGCAAGAGCGGTTGCGGCGGAGGTGGCGGCGGGTACGTTTAGTATAACATTATTACTTACTTAAAATTCAAAATATTTAAAAATAATTATATCCACACGATTCACATTTTATAAATTAAAAAAAATACCTATAATTGAAATATTAGGTGTTTCCGCAGTTTTATTAGATTTTGAATATGTTTAGAAAAAAGGATTACTTATGTAACATATACATTTCGTAAAGAGTCAACGATCAGGTTAGACTTCGACATGTGGAAATTGGCTGCTTTTATTACAATAAAGTCAAAATAATGAATTAAAGCCATTGAACCCTGAAGAAAATCTAAATGATGTTTTCGCAAGTTTAATTATACCACTCATTTAATTTATATGCAAACTATTATATTGTAGATATGAAATTACTTTGCGTTTGTTAATATTATCTCCGTTTATTATCCTCAAAGTCACAGAATAACTAAGAAAGGTATAAATTAATAAATTTTTACAAATGCCTTTCAGATATCCTGGAAACAGTTATGCAAGCAGTGGTTCTTACAGCCAGGCTTCAAGCAGTAGTTGGAGTAATGCTGGTTCTTCTGGATGGTATATAATCTAAAATTAATCAAATAAATTAATAACACAATTCATGTAAATATTAATTAATTAAATAATTTATTTTATTTTTAGGGGTAGATAAAACATCCAGCACAAGAAATCAAAAAGTTTAAATATTCATCTGATGTTGAAAATATTCTAAACGAACTGAAATAAGTTAAAGATTAGAGATGATGTTACTAGTTGTAATGATTTTGTTAATTAATTACTGTTTGTAATTCTGAATAATGTTTTTAATAAAGTTTAACAAAATTGATGTCGCTGTTTGAAATTTGATAGAAATAAACTTTAAATTAAAAAATGAATTATTGTGCCTCATTCTTATTGAAAGTTTCATATTTGTTTTCTACAAATACTTACATTTTCTATTTGACCAGCAACACTATTGCTGCGTAATGCATTATATATTAAAAATATGAAAAAAAGTAAAATAATAAGCGATAAAACCCAGTAGATAATTTTATACAATATTATTTAGAGTTTACTGTTCTGGAAAATAAGAAAGCAAATTAATCAAACATTAATTGTGAAGATTTCAAACCTGTGGAATATTAAAAATAGTAAAAAAATTTTTCGGCAGTTGATTACAAGAATGGACTAAAAATTATTTTATATTTTATTTTGATATAATGTTAATATAACTTTACGACATATTTTGAAATGACTTCTCAGTCTCATGTACTCACAAGTCTAATATATATGATGCATTAAAAAGTTGAGAACAAGTTAAATCATCCTAGTATATTCATTATATATATATATATATATATATATATATATATATCGTACGATTTTTGAAACAGAAATAAATTTATTACATGCAATGACAAACATTAATTATATTATAAAACATTATTGATCTACAAGTGAAACTGTTACCATTGACATTACTTAACAATTAATTAACACAATTTTAAGCTAACATGTTTTATCTAGCATATAGTTTAATATTTAACAAGTGTTAAAATTTTTCTGAATATGTAATAATAATGTATTTTTTCTTTAGTTTATTATCTATATACTTTGTAGCTTCACTAGATTCTTAATAATATATATTATTTATAATGTATAAACCGATAACAATCAATATCGTTCATTCATATTCTTTAAAATTCCATAAATTAAATAAAAAAATCTTCAACTTATAAAGCGTCTACAGATAATCAATTAATGTTTCAAAACTTTTTCTAAAGAGCCTATAAAGTATTTATAACATTGGTGCGGCACCCAAAAATCGTTACATTCAATATAATACAAACGTGACGTGCTTGTAACAATTATTCTTCTATGCATTTATTCTGAATTATTCTTCTAAGCTTATAAACTTATTTTTAAGCTCTAAAGACTGAAATGTTAAACAGAATCTAACAATAATTCAACAAAAATTCAACTTACGTTCATTTCTTAATTGAAAATTTCGTCTATTATCCTACTTAATCATTTATAATTTCTAGCAACATACTAATATTTGTTTATTTATGTGAAGACTCTACGACCTTATATAAATTTATATATATTATTTAGAGATGATAAACTTCAATAATCTCTTTGATTTGATTTATCCATTGCATGAGCATACGGAATATTGTTCAGTTTTCTATTATTGTCTTAATTTGACTAATTGTTAATTTGTCTTAAAACCTATAACATAATATAGAGCAATAAACAATAATTTTAATGCATCCTGAAATAAAAAATTATCATGAAATTTCAAAATGCCGAAAATTGAAACATGGTATAAAGTCTAGAAAAAATCAAAGAAAATATTTCTTTTGTGTACGAATTAACGCACGATGGCAATAATTACAATAAAAGCGCATCGTAGACTTCATAAGAAAAGCTACGTTATTATTTACAAGGCATTTGTTGATTATTAATTTTAATAATGCAATATTTCGGAGAATTTAACAAAAATAATATTAATAACTAAACACGTCGAAGCAGAACGTGTTTTTACTTTTCGTAATTCGGAAAGAGCTTTATTTAAAATTAACAAAAATATATCAACAAGCTTTATTTAAAATTAACAAAAATATATCAACAAGTTTATTGATCCACTAGGGTATCATTAACAATTTAATTTTAGTCAACTTAATTTTATACGCAGGCTTTATAATCTCATTCAAAAATAATGCAAAATGATAGATATATAATTAAATGATACAGCTTTTTATACCAATACTATTTAAAGCAAAAATAGTTATAAAATATATATTTGATGAATCTTTCGAGTCCAAACTGGACTTTACAGGTCCTTTGAGCAACACAATCGAAATTCATTTTCATAGTTTTTTGAAAAATACTGATCATTCCATAGCAATTCAAGTAAGTGGAGAGTTACTTCTTCAGTTACTTATAATGAGTAAGTTAAATGTATTATTTTAAAATTAAAACGTATTCGAATAAAAAGTAAGGATTACATGAAAATAAACATTAATAATGCTAAACAAAACATGTACAAAACCAGCTTTATCTTGATCAACAGACGAACAATAAAAGTTATACTTAGATTACCTTATTCATATGTAGAAAACCACTTGTATCAACTCCATAAGTAACAAGTATTATCTTTGGAAGCGGTTATTATGGTGTCACCCATATAGTTGAACGCGCACGAGAAAACTTCATCCATGTGTCCTCTTAGTACCTGAATTATAAAAAGATAATAAATATAGAGCAAAAATTACATGTAATTCTTTAAAAAATGATATACTCAGGCATAATACAAAAGTATAAAAACAGTCTAATTGATTATTTATAAATGATTTACTCTTCAACACATCAGCTGAATTTTAATCAATATCTGATACTGTAATGATGATAAAATATTTGATTTTAGCTAACCAATACCTGAATGCACTCTCCTGTTTCACTATCCCATAGTCTGGCAGTATTATCTTTTGATCCAGTGAGCAAAACTCCACCTGGAGGGCTAAAGCAGACCTGCAAAATAACAAATTCGTTATGAAATAATTATAAGATATATACTATAATTATACTAAAATAATTAATCTAATATGATACTTTTGGTTTTTAGAACTTCTAATTTTGACTGAAAATCGAGAAGATTTAGCTCCAAAATAGATATAAACATGTAACTATTTTGGAACTATGTCTTATATTTTATAGAAGATATACGTAAGATATAAAAATATCATATTATATATCAAGCCCCGATTTGAAAAATAATATTCGAAAATGTAGTTATAGGTCAGCCGTGGCGTAACTGGTAAGGACGCGAGCTAATACAAACTAGTCCCGGGTTTATATAATATAATATAATTTCAAGTAAAAATCTCGCAGACATCCCTGATCACATACCAATCAACACTATTAGATACACATATCTAATAAGCCAACAACAGGGTTGCCTCTCGAAGAAACAGATTAGGAATCAGATCGAAGAATCACGTAGTAGAAGCAGTAATGTAATTATATATTTATATAACTAGGATGGTCCTTAATATGGACATTTTCGAATTTCATTCCTCCCAAGGACTTAAATGGTTCCAAATTGATAAAAAACAATTCTCTGAAAGTTTTAGCTCTTAATATTAACTTTTAGATAGTGCGCAATTCAATCAAACTTTGTATGGAAATAGCATGAAAAAAATTTTTTTAGGTATAATTTAGCGACAAATGAATTAAAAGTGAAAATTCGTATAACTTTTTATTGAAAATTCGACGCTCTGCAAAATTTTGCGCTCTATCTAAAAGACAATATTAAGAGCTAAAACTTTCAGAGAATTGTTTTTTATCAATTTGGAACCATTTGACCCCTAGCGAGCAAAGAAATTTGAATGTCCATATTAAGGACCACGCTAATATATATATATATATATATATATATATATAAAGAATAATCATATAATTAATATTATTATAACCGTGTTCACTTCATCCGTATGACCAGTCATTGCCGCTAGTAAACTAAAATCTCCATGGACATCCCAAACTCTCGAAGTGCAGTCACTACTTGCAGTTGCTAAGCGTCTTCCTCTGCCATCGAAGGCTATATTGAGCACCTGAATTCAAAAAACACAAAAATATAATATATTTCAAAAATCGGCATGGTTTCCAAATGAAATTTGTTAATATTGTTATATTGTAATTCTTTATTTCTTTATTTCTCTATTTTTTCATTTTTGCATTTTTATTGCTAAAAACTTTACTAATTCAAAATGCCACAATTTGTTGTAAGTACGTGTTATTTAAAAAAAATCAAAATAACAATTTGTTAAATTCAAGAAAAGAAAATTATTTATTTTGAGAACAATTTTAAGACGTTTATGAAAATATTACACTTCGAAGATATTACATGTAAAATATATACATGCAAAAAAATTATGGTGGCTACAAAGAAAATATGATTGCAATTGAGAAACATAAAAAGCGCAATCGCAAATCAAATAGGTTTCAAAGGATTAACAAAAGAGCAAATAAAAGTGATTAACTGCAAGCTGCAAAATATAATAAAAATGTAGGTCCGATGCAGCACCACCTCGTGCTGATGTCCAGAAATCGTTGCCAAACAATTCATGGTACGCGTCTCCCAAATGCGAGCAGATTTATCCATTGATGAACTAGCAATCAGCGTACCATCGTAGTTATATAGGCAATTGCTTATTTCTGCCTCGTGGCCCAGCAACACTCCGCAACGGCTACAATAGAGAAAAAAATCGAATTAAAACTAGTATTTTTAATTTAGGCGGAGATATCGATAATATTATCTCACTCGTTCTTAATCTCTTAAATCGGCGCTTAAGATTTGTAACTTCCAATTTGAAATACATTTTCAAAAAAATATTACGATCTATTGTTGCTAGATAATAAATAATAATAAAAAAATCATCTTAAGCATTTTTATCTACTAACAGCAAGTCCTTACGTTAATAAGAACATAATTATCAACAGAATTTAGGGAAAGTTGATGAGCAAAATTATTGTACAATGTTCAATCTATTGGCTTCAAGACCACTTAAAGAATACTGCAAGTGATTGCGGGGTTGTAATGCTATGATTTGAATCTCAAAATAGTCATTTTTAGTTTTTACCTGGCTACTAATTTTTTTTTAATACGATGTTTTGAATGCTTTAATATAACAATGTAAAAAGCTAAGATAAAATACTTACTTACAACATTTAAATACGATTTTGACACTTTGGCATTTCGAGTTGTTGATGACTTTTTCGCTTAATAATTACATTGAACACTGGCATTATTGCTTTCGAAGGTCTACATATATGGTGCGATATATATATATATATATATATATATATATATGCAATAATTAATTCAAATTATTACTCTTTGACACGAGGATCCCATAAGCTCACAGTTCCATCAAAAGATCCAGTTATCATCCGTTCTCCGTCCTTGCTAAATTTCAGAGCTATTATTTCAGCACTGTGACCACAAAATGTGCGTATTTCTTGACCTAAATTTATAAATACAATGATCATCACGAGGTATTATAATTAGTTTTAGACCATACAAAATTTAAAAAATAAAAAATTATGCTTAAATTCTTCGAATGTATAATATGTTTCGGTTTAAAATTTCCTTCCATTGAAGATTTCAATTTGAGTTTTTTTGATTAATCTTATTTCAGAACTGAAAATCAAATTACGAAACAAATTTTTGATTTTTATCCAGTATTCGCAAAAGTTGAGTAGTTGAGAAAGTCGTTGAAAACGATAAAACTATTAGAAGAGAAAAGCATTAAATTTGAGACTACTGTTTCATTTTATGAGTAAATATTTTTGAAATTGTTAAAACACAAAACTCATACATATTTAAAAAGTGTAAATATTGATATTGATAAGGGATCGTTCAAGTATTACGTAAGATTTATTACAATTTATTACAATTATTTACCCCCCACCCCCTTTGTCAGCAAAAGTAAGCAAAGCTCTTACCCTCTACCCCCATGCTTACGTAAACATTTTGCAATTAATGTATTGTTTTTTTTAATATTGTAATTAGGTTATAATTATAACTTTAAAAATAAGAAAATAGGTTTAGGATGTAGAGATTTTACTGATATCGTATTGAACATAGAGTAACAAAATTATTATAATCTTACGAACATAATAAACTTATTTTAAATTTTTGATACTGGCAAAGACAAAGTAAGGTTGCCATTCGGTAAAAAAAAATAAAAATACTACCTATGACCTAATCATCATCCAGACTCCCCTGCCCCCCATGTCAACTCAAAATAAGCAAATCCATAACCCCCCAACCCCCTATAGTGCTTACGTAATACTTGAACGGCCCCTAATTTGATGGCTCAACATATTTGAATGAATTCCGAAACTGTTTGAAATAGATCAGCATTTAAAAATTGGATATATAGATATTTCGGATAAAAAAATTATATAGTGTAGGTATGTACATCGTACTGATTAGCTTGTTCAAACGAGATCGATTCCTTTTTTAAACAAAATTTTTCTTAAATTCAAATGATTAAAAATAAAAGAATATCTATGATAGTAATGATTACATTCAATTACCATAATCAAACTCGTACTCTTTGGAAATATAATGAAATTTGGTTACAATACCTGTGGCCAAATGATACAGCCGTGCCGTGCCATCTAAAGAAGCCGTAGCAGCCACACCTGAGTCTCGTTGGGGACTGAACTCCGAGCATACAACTTCAGCGCTGTGTCCCCAAAATATAGCGTCGCATGCGCCTGTACGCAGGTTCCAAAGACGTGCTGTCTTGTCAAAGGACCCCGTCAATGCTCTATTACTGCAAATAACGTACTAGCTGTAAGTGGAATTATGTCTTAAGGCAATTAAGGCATCGTGCCTTAAGGCAAATTGCTGGAACTTCCCGTACCAAAAATTATTATTTTTTTAAAAGCGATTAACATTTTTGAAAAAATGTTACTTCGAATAAATTAGATTTTTTAAAAACAAAAAAAAAAATGTTTGAAAAAAAAAGTTTTCTTTATTTTGACATAGTTTGGAAATTCTGAACTTTTTTTCAAAGCAATCGTACTACTTTAACTACATAGAGACGATATGTCAAAGCGCGTAAGCGCCGCGTCGCCGTCTAACGGATAAACATTGGTACGAAACCCATAGGAATGTAAACAAAATTCATACTTAATGTAAAAATCTCTATAAAATATCTGATAATTTGATGTGCATATGTCTAATGATCATTTTTGACCGCCAAATGGCTTTTTGTTTTACTTTTTTCATTAGATCTCCAAAACCGCTAGATCTGCCTTCATGAAAATTTGATAAATTCTTCATCTTGTCAATACAAGTAAAATGTTTTTAAAATCGGACGCTCCGTTCTCTTAAAAACCGTGTTAACGTTTTTGGCACTTTTTTCCCCGTATCTTCGGAACGGCTAAAGCTGCCTCCACCAAAAACTAATCAGCACGTCTCCTTATCAGTACAAATCGAATGTTTTTTAAATTATTGAAATCGGTTGATTGGTGTTCTAGAAATCGTCGACGAAAATTTGTATCCGAACACACACACACGCACACACACACACATACACCCATTTTTTCTAAGGTATGCCAAAATGTTCAGAAACCTCTGAAACGTAAAGATATATAAAAATTTTCATTTTCGATTTTTTTGCGATTACTATAACTTAACCTACGGGAAGTTAAAAAATAAAATATGTAGATGTATTGTAGAAGATGTTTTTAATATTTTAATAAATATTTACCAATCTGGGTATTGAAATGCTACGGAGAAAACAACATTCTTATGACCTTCGAGTGAAATTATTTCTTCTCCAGTTTCTACATCCCATACCTTGCATGTTCTGTCGTAACTCCCTGACAAGCATCTGCAAATAAAAATGTCAACATTACAAGGTTTATGTTTCATAAATGGCTCATTGCTTATGCACATTTTTATGCATTCCGTTTAATTTATAAATCATTTTGACATAACAAAAATTCTGAAAGTAAAAGAATCAATGACAAGAAGTATAGAGTATCTTATAAATAAACAAATGTATAACTATATAAAGAGTAGGGCGGGGCACAAAGGTCCAATTTGACTATGAGAAATTATATTGTGATGACGAAATAACTAACTATCTTACTAGTGTAGTAAAACATAAAAAGTAAAACTTCCAGCTAATTCATCATTGTAGAAATAGTTTTTTAAAGAATTCTTGTCTGGTCCTTCTTACCCTATAGGCGGGGTAATATAGAACAGCCAATGGGCAGATAGGTTCAATGCCTCATTTTTTATTAAAGGGATTTTACATTATTCATCCAATGCAAAATATAAAATTTATTGATACATTTTTTACAGAGATAACACTGCATATAACCATTATTTGGTATTTCGCCACCAAAGTTGGTTTTCTTAACTTGATTTACTTTTTTTATTGTTTACACCTTTCTGAGGGTAAAAGCTTAGATGGTCCTTTTTACCGGTAAATTTTTATAAAGGTTAAAAAAAAATGTTGAATCTAACTTAAAAATAACAAAAACAGCTCAATCACCTCGATTTTCGACATCGCTATTGGTAGATAAACGATGTTTGAAAATAGATAACAAAAGTATATTTTTTTGTTGTTAGTTTTTTTGGTTAGGAGCACTGTTATTTAGTTTATGAGAGCTTAGCATAATATACATTATACTTGAATTATTTAAGTATCCGTGTTTAAATGTTTTATAAGTTATAAAACGATGTATGGCATCGTGCCTTAGGGCAAAATTCTGAAACTTCCTGTATCAAATATTAATTTATTTTAAAAACGATTAAATTTTTTTTTAAACTTTGAAAAAATTAGGTTTTTGAAAAATTTTAAATTATTGAAGAGTTTTGAGTTTTTTTGAAACAAAATGTTTTTTATTTTGAAATATTTTAGATATTTTGAACTTTTTTCAAAGCAATCGCGCTGCTTTAGCTGCATAGAGACGAAATATCGCCCGATGTCCCGTAAACTATAAAAATGTAAACAACATTTATACGTATTATTTAAATCTTAATAAAATATCTGAAATTTTGATGTGCATATGTCTAATGATCATTTTTGACCGCCAAATGGCATTTTTTGTACTTTTTTTACCAGATCTCCGAAACCGCTGGACATGCATTTCCAAAAATTTAACCAGTTTTTCATCATCTTTTCAGTTGTGTTTTTTCATCAACAAAAGTAAAATGTTTTTTCAATTATTAAAATCGGACGCTCCGTTCTCTTAAAAACTGAGTTACCATTCTTGGCACTTTTTGCCCCGTACTTTCGAAGCGGCTGAATCCGCCTTTGCCAAAAACTAATCGTCTCCTTATCAATAGGAATCGAATGTTTTTGAATAATTGAAATCGTTTGAACCGTGCTCCTGAAATTGTCGACACAAATTTGTATTCGCACTTACATTCATAATTTTTTTCTAAGATATGCCTAAATGTTCAGAAACCTTTGAAACGTAAGATATATATAAATTTTCATTTTCGATTTTTTTGCGATTACTATAATTTACCCTACGGGAAGTTAATTATGAGTAACAAACTTTGGATGTTTTGCGTCCAATGTGACAAATGACAATTTAAAAAAGTTTATCAAAATAATTATGTATGAATTCAAGAAAAAAGATTAATCGAATACTCAAGAAAATTGACAAATTGAAAATGATTTAGTAGCTAGTGATATTATCTAACATTTCGCTGGTTTTCATTTTTGTGGATACACTGTTATAAATAATCTTACTCAAAAGCAGCTGTTCACACATGCTTATTTATCTATGTTCACATTTTCAAGTGTTGCGCAATAATGTTCAATACATTATTATAATTTTACTTATTTAATTTCATTACAACTTTGATAACCATATAATTTTTCTTGTTTTTAATTTCTTCATTAAAATCTATTCAAATTATAGAAAAAAAACTAAACAAAGTTTTTCAATTTAATATTGACAGTTTTTTTGACAACTCTACACGTTGGTTACTCTGTTTGTGACAGACAAACTGATACCATCTTAGCCAATGTTAACCCTCTTGTCAATTCAAATGATAAACTTTCAAACACATGAATTTATGCTTCTAGTGTTCTAATTCATAGTTTGTTTACATTTAAAGTTTATATGATTTTTTATAGCCCAAATTTTACTATTTATTTCAAATAATAATATTAATAAATTAGTTAGTTATATTTAGTATCTATCGAGTTGCAGAATAAATTTTAAAATTACCATGCATTGTTTTTATCATGAGAATTACAAGTAGGTAAATTTAAAACATCAATAATCTTAGTAATAAAAAATGATGCACATACGTGATTTCAATCCGTAATTGTGAAAACTAGATGATTTTAATCAATAGACTATAATTAGAGTCAAAAATTTTACGGAATGATCAAATGTTATAAACA